GAGTGACGTGGTCCCCTCACTCCTGGGTCCCTGCGAGCGAGGTGGTCCCCTCACTCCTGGGCGCCTGCGTGTGAGGTGGTCCCCTCACTCCTGGGCGCCTGCGAGCGAGGTGGTCCCCTCACTCCTCCTGGGTCCCTGCGAGCGAGGTGGTCCCCTCACTCCTGGGTCCCTGCGTGCTTGGTGGTCCCCTCACTCCACCTGGGTCCCTGCGAGCGGGGTGGTCCCCTCATTCTGCCTGGGCTCCTGCAAGCAAGGCGGCTGAGGGTGCGCTGGGCCTTGCTGCCCGTCTCCTCTGCCCACAGTCTCCACCACGGTCTTCTGTCAGAAGCTGATGCAGGTGGTCCCTCAGGAGTCCTAGCGTGGCCGAGCCGCCGCAGGGGAGCGCGTGCGGCTGTCCCCCCTGCAGCAGCCTCTCGGGCCCAGGCCGGCAGCCAGGCACCTGGCACCGCGGACCACCGGTACGAAGTCGGCCCCCACACCCACCTCCGTTTGCTTATTTTTTTACCTTAAATTTTGGGTCAAGTAGCGGCCACCAAGATGATTTTCACAAAGAGAAGACGAAGGTGCAGCGGGGGCAGCACTCCAGTTCCCGTCCCACCCCAGGAGGGGCCCAACACTCCAGCCGCAGAGCTTTCCGGAGCTCCTGACCCCGGCACTGTAGGGCTGTACTGTGGAACCTGCTCTGGGGGACACTTGCACTGGGGGACACTTGAACTGGGGGACCTGCACTGTGGGGACAGCATCCCGTTTTCATTGTTACAGAGACTCCACCCACCCCAGAGCCCCAGCACTCTGCCTCTCAGACCTGAGATAGAGCCCCCCCCGCACCCCCAGCCCCCAGAAAGCAGAGCTGGGGAACTGCTTGGCTCAGCCCAGCGTCAGGCCCAGTGCCGTGGAAGTGTTGGGGCCTGGACCTGCTGCTGCCCACAGGCCTGAACCATGGCCACACTGCCTGGGGCAGGCTCTGCAGATCACTCCATTCAGGACCTCCTGGACGAAGGCTTGGCCCCAAGTGTCCCCAGCCACTGCCTGGCTACCCTTCACCCACCACAGAGTCTGCCTCCAAAGCCACTGAGAACAGGCCTCTCCAGGAACTTTCTAGACTGAAGAGGCCAGGGCTTCGTGCCTGCTCAGTCCACTCCATGCTGGGCCCCTCGGCACAGCTGGCCACCCCCGGGCTGGTCACCTGTAGAGCTGCCCTGACTAGTCCCTGTTCCTGGAGGATGGGTGGCCTCGTGTGTCCCCTCCACCTGGAGACAAGCCCACTCGTCTCTGGTCACGCCCTCACTTGCTCTGAACCAGGCAGCTGAGACCCACCAGCAGGTCTAGTCCCACCTGTGACTATGTCCAGGCCAGTTGTCCAGGTCCCTGCTGGTTGGGCAACACCTGGTGACATGCCCCGGGGTGGCCTGAGCTGCAGCCACCTGCTGGCCAGAGCAAGCTGGCACACAGTGGGCCCCACGCACAGTGGACAGGACTCCCGTGGTCCACACTTGTCCTCTGCAGGTGGACCTCAGTCAGCAGGAGCTAGGCCCTTGGGGTCTCTTCCTGGACGCCACCATCTTCACTCTGGACAGGCACTCCCTGGGCAAACGGCATGGCCAGCCCGGCCTGGGATTGCTCCCCAGGTGGCCCCCACATCCACAGGGAGCCACTGTTGAGAAGGGTGACCGGTGGGGTCTGTAGCACTCCACGGGGCCTCCAGGAGTGGTCTTTCTGAACTGAGACAGGAGGCCTGCTCCCGATGTCCACTTGCTGGGTGACCCCTCTAGGTCCCCTCAGCCAGGTGGTGCCAGAGGCTGTTTCTATGGTGCTGGCTCTGACCCGTCCTGCAGCCCCACCTCCTGCTTGCTGGGTCCTGGGGCCAGGCCATGCTCTGAGATTAGAGAGGCACTCCGTCGGCCAGACCCAGGGCTCACACCATCCAGCACGGGGGCGTCCCATGTGGTAATGCGTGTGTAGAGCATATCATGGTCTTCTCTGACTGACCTCTGCTTCTGCTTGTTCAGTGTCCCCTTAGCACCCCCACTCTTATTTATCCCCACCCCCTCTCAGGAGGAGCCCCCCAGCCCAGGCCTGCCCACGGCCGGCTTCCCAGGACTGGCCGACACCTCCGGGGCCGCTGCTGCGTGGACGGCTGTGTGGCTGGCTCAGCCTCTCCCCCACTGGGTGCTGCGGGGGACCAGCGGTGGCCTGTCCGGCCCTGCCCACATTGTCTGTTACACTGGCTCTGAGGCAGGAGTCCTGGGCTCGTGTCTGTCTCGTTCTGTGCGGGTGGGGTGCTTCTGCATTTGTGTTGGTTTTATTTTTTGTACTTTGAGATTATTTTTAATGCTGTAGAAGAGCTGATAAATAGTTGTTGGAAAGCAACAAGAGTCTAATGTCTGGTGCAATTTGTTTATTTCTAAAGAAAACCCCCGAGTTGGAGGCCTTTTTTGTGGCACTTGGCTCTGCAAGAAAATCAAGGTGTTAGGACCCCCACCCCACATTCACTCACGTGCATATTGGGCCTCGGGCGAGTAGGGAGAATGGCCCAGAACCTGGGGGACCACCCTGCACCTGTGATAGGTAGGGGTCTCAGCCCCGCCTCCTGCAGGTTGGGTCCTAGGGGCCAGGACCTCTGTCCCATGAGCAGACGACCGTGCTGTGCTGGCATAGGTGGGCAGGAAGGGAGGTGGACACCCCTGCAAGCTCACTGCCGGATAGAGGGGCTTGGAGGTGAGGGTGCAGAGTTCTAGAACTCTCCAGGCCCTGGGGAGCCAAGACCACAGTTCCCAGTGCTGGGGTCTATGAACAACCCCTGACAAAGCAGGCACACTGATGGCTATGGGCCGTGTAGGACCCCACTCACCTGAAAATGCCAATGGAGGAACCACACCTTCCAGGTGGGCAGGAAGAGGTGGATGGATGGTCAGCCCAGAGCTTCAGAATCCTTGCCTCCAAGAAGCAGCCTGGTTTCACTCTCTCTCTAGGATGAAGCTGATTGTTCTAGCAGTCCAGGACATATTCAACACTCTTCTCTAGCACCACAGCCCAAAGGCATCAGTTCTTCTCTCATCCCTACAGTATGTTCCTCTCGTGAAAGACCTGCTGGGACGGCCTTGTTAGGACAAGGACACAAGCAATCTGCCACATTGGAGAGCTGACAAGCCACCTGGCTACTGCCCACAACTGCAGCCTCCCAGCCATCTGGGTGATGCTGGCCTCAGCCTCACTGGGGGACTGTGATCCCACCCGTGTGGGGGAGGGGATGTGAGGGCTGCAGTAACATTATGACCCCAGGCCTGGAGGTCTCCTTCCCCGCAGGCCCAAGGGACATCCCAAGGTGTCTGCATTGCAGGCAGCTAGCCCTCTGATCATCCACACGGCCACAGCCCTGCTCCTGTGCACTGCTTCCCGCCCCCCACTCCCCATGACACTCGAGTTTCATCTGATTCCCACACTTCTCGGAACTCAACTATCCTGACTGAAAGAACTTCCTCCCCACCGTGGCCTGGACAGGAGCCAAGGACTCCCCTTCTCCCCAGACAGGGCCAGACCCTGCCGCCACATTCCCTTCCACCTCACAAACCATTTAGGGAGCTGCTGACTCTGACCCATTAGACCAGACAGTTGTGCGGGGGCCCAGTGCCACCCGTCTGTGGGGTCAGAGCTGAGCTGGGGCCTCCTCTTCTCATGCTCACCCCTCAGTGCTGACGTCTGCTTTCAGAACAACGGAGGACAATCCACCACGGTCCAGCACCGACACACGGTCAGCTGGCACTGGCCAGGGAAGAACCAGCTCCCAGGGCTCCTCAGCCTTCTCCAAGGCCCAGCCAATAGCAAATGAGCGTCAAGGAGGATGGCACCCAGGACAGGCCTGAGAGCAAGGCACTCTGCCGCTGGGATGGAGTTTTGGGGGTGCAGTGGCCATCCTACCCTGCATGGCGTCAGCGGAGAGGTGTCCAGTGGCAGGAATGGGGCCTGCAGCCTCGTCTGAGCCTTGATCAAGCCACACCTGATGCCCAGACTCCCTTAGTCCTTCCAAGAACACAAGCCAGCACAGTCCACCTTCACTGTCACGTGTGTGCTGTCCTCGGGTCATTGCACAGAGCCCTCGTGGTGCAGTGGTTAAAGTCCTTTCCGCTGTGATACAAAGAGGCAGGAACCTGCCCAGGGACCGAGAACCTCCCCACCTGAGCAGCAGCTGCCTCTGGCTCCATATTAGCACTTTTATGCAGGTAAGGGGTGTGTTCTGTTGTACATAGGGTTTTCAGAGGCCTGCTATTTCAGAAGTAGATGGCCAATCCTTCTTCCTAGTCTGTCTTAAGACAAAGATTCTCACCACTGGACCAATTGGGAGCATCAGGATGGATGGTGAAGAGACTGAGATGGTACACAGCTTTAGTTTGCTTGGCTCCACAGTCAGCACTCTTGGCACCAGTAGCCAGGAAATGAAAAGATGTATTGCCGTGGGAACGTCTGCTGTTAGGGACCTCTCCAAAGTACTGAAGAGCAATGGTGTCTCTCTGGAGACTAAGGTGCGTCTGATACAGGCCATGGTCTTCGCAATTACTTGTTATGCATCAGAGAGTTGGACAATGACCAAGGAGGATAGAAGGAGAATTGATGCCTTTGAGCTGTGGTGCTGGAGAAGAGTATTGAGAATACCATGGACTGCTAGGAAAACAAACAGATTTGTCCTGGAAAGGGTTAAACCGGGTGGCTCCTTGGAGGCAAGGATTCTGAGGCTCCATCTAACATACTTTGGACATGTTGTGAGGAGAGACCGGTCCTTAGAGAGGGACATCATGCTTGGGAGGGTGGAGGGACAGCGCAGGAGAGGAAGGCCCTCTATGAGGTGGATTGATTCAGTGACTGGGATCATTGGGATGAGAGTGTCGGAGACAGTGCAATTAGCACAGGACAGAGCAGAGTTTAGGGCTGTTGTATATAGGGTCGCTATGAGTTGCAGGCGACTCGACGGCACATAACAACAACAACAAGGGGTGTGTTAGGGGTGTGACCCTCAACACAACAGATTGACACAGCGGCTGACAATGGTCTTGAGGACTGTGGAGACGATGAGGATGGTACCAGGATGGTACCGGCAGGAACGGGCTCGGAGCCGCTGTTCACAGGGACGCCGTGGGTCAAGGTAACTTGATCAACAGGCAGGAACCCTGACCTGGTGTCCTCCCGTCTCTGACACACCTCAGCCACGCGCAGTCACCGTGTTGATCAATCCCGTTGAGTTCCCCTCCTTTACCGACCCTCCACCTTTCCAAGCGTGGTATCTCCCTCCGGAGAAGAGCTCCTAACAACGTGCTCCGAGCGTGAGATGAAGCCTCACCGTCTTTGTCAGGAGCACCCTGGCTG